ATTCCAAATATGTATAAAAGTCTATATCGCAAAAAATGGCGGTTAATACAAATAGCCCGGAACCCGTCGTAATCATTAATCACAAAAGATATTGCTTCGCGAATTCTAACTTTATTAAATTTGAGCAACTGTTTGAATATAAGGTTAAGGTGGGTCATAATTAAATTTTGTTGACTAAATTAAACTATAATAAATATTTTTTTTTTCTAACAAGGCAGCCCAAAGGTAGGATCGCTACGGATGAAACTTTGAAACCTTTACACACGTTAATATTTATTTTGTTTTATGTAAACCACCATCATCAATAAAAATAGCAAAATGAATCATGTAGCAGTAAAATTGCTTAACCCAGGTAAAATGATACTCATAACAAAAGTAACATATGCCAGAACGAAAATAGCTTGCGACTGAAATAGAGAATTAAATATGTCCTTATAAAATATTGTTACGTCATTTACCATATAATTATCGTATAATTAACCATCGTGAAATTGAACAACTCAAAACCTTAGCTTTCTTAACCACTGCATAACATATTTGAATAAAAACAAATATACTTGAATAAAAAAAAGTCATGTATCGAAACACGCTCGGTCATACCTGACTAAAACCAATCTTTAAAACTGTATCAAGTTTCCAAAAAAAATGTTAAGCGAACGTAGACGCAAAATAAATAAAAACTTGAATGATCTTTTAAATCATTTAACCTGCCGTGCAAAAAAAAATAATGTTGGTGCCCTATCATTAAACAAAACTTTTACTTTATGCTTTTATGTTCATTTATCACTCAACTAGGTCGTCCATAATCATGATATACTTAACTCTAACAACCGAACCAAATGCTTCCAAAGATACGATATTGTCTTTTATCTTGTCGATTTTTTTTTATGCAAAATAAACACAAAAGAAAAAAAAATTGCACAAATTATAATAAAACTGAGGCAGATAGCTTCAAAAAATGTATAATACAACAGCCAGTTCGACAGTAGCACGTCCTCGGAACAATAAGAAGGTAAACCTACATACCTCTGATCACAGCACAAAATACCAAAATCTTATCCTTCGGTTTTAATGTTCCTCCACTGGCAAGTTACACCATATCAAGCAGGATCAGCTTATGAGCCACCAGCAGTCAGCAAGCGTAATGTCATCGTTTATTTAATGGACGTGACAGAAGACATCATCCATGGTTCCATGAAGCTGAAAAAATTCATAGCATTAATACACAGCAGCTAGGATTTTATCCCACTTCTGATGTCAGATTCAGAGAGTGAGGAAAGATACATGTTATGCGTATTTTAAGTTTAAAGCAAAAGCTACTTGTGTAAATAAAGCTTTAAAATGTATGTGAGTGGTTTCATTTGAAAGTCAGGATGTAACTTTAATTGATTTATTTATCTAATATGTCAGGTTGGCTATTTTCATGAATTTAATTATATGAGTTGAAAATTAATTATTTATTTATTTAAGGAAGGTAGTTTAATAATTGAAACAGACAAAATAAGAACATATTGATTTTATTGAATCATATGTCAACCAAACCTTACATATGAATTTACCAATATGTTCACCAGGTTCAGCAACGTGCCACCAAGGAGAAAAGAACCTGGTCAAGAAACTCCTTTGGCATACCCTCTTTTTAAATTGTTTACAATACAAGCAAATACAAAATGTCCATTACAAATAACTAAAAGCTAATTATAGAAACTGGCTTCAGCAATTAATCAGACACAAATTAGCACCAGCAAAGAAATGGAAATGGCTACAGCATTAAACAAATAAAATAATAGATTACAGATAAATACTTAACTTCAGTAAAATCCGGAACACAACGCACAACTTCTATATAATTACTAATTACTCATTAATTTGAATCAATTAAAGTATTACGTAACTGAAGACATATTCACACTTTTTCACGATCAAATTCTAACTGCTGCGCCGGCGGAATTGGCGGCGGTCCCGCCACCGTCCCGCACCGGCGAGTGACCTACTTCTGACCAATCACAGCACTTTAAACAAATACGTAAATTCTGGTAGATTATCTTGATAAATTTAACGTAAGTCACACTAGAAACTCCTTAGAACTATTAATCTAGATAACAACAATTATTTCCTAATTTATACTTTTATCTATAACGATTTAATTAAAATGAGACATCAAAACAAGAATGACACTTGGTAAGTTTCGTTCAGAAACTAAACAGCACAGAAAATGTTACACAATGACGTATGAAATATTACATTAAAGTCAAATACTTTCACCAGTGAATATTTTATAAAAGCATGAAATGTGTACATAAAAATAATTAGAGTTAACGACTTACATTGTGATAAATCTATTTGATTTATCACAATGTCCAGACCAGAGGTTTCGTTCAGAAGCTAAGACTAACTAGTCGAAGTTAATCAGCGTTTTTACGGAGACAGCTATAAAAGTTATATCGAAAACAATTTTTGTTTCTTGCTAAATAACAATTAATCTCACAAGCACAATATCAATATCATCAAAACATAATTTAGAATGAAGTCGCTTTTTGTGTTTCTCTGTCTGTCTGTCGTGGATTTCGCTAACTCCTCCTAAATCACGCACGCAACGGATTTTAAAGCGTGTTTTTTATATTAGATAGAGTGATTCAAGAGGAAGGTTTATCTGTACAACACAATGTCGGGAAAATACCTTTATCTACACTCATTTCGTAATATTCGTTTTACAGAATCGAAAGTACGAACGTAATGAACTGCATTACGAATATACAGCCTTTAAAAAAAAACTTTCATACTACTGGCAGCTACATAAAGTAACTCGATTTCTAGTATTTGAAAAAAAATTAAACGAATTGACCCGCATACCAAATTGTAATCTATTCCAATTTGACACTGGCCAACAGTAAGTGAAATGAAAAAAAAAATAAGTGTCACCCGGGCGGGAAATTATGAGGACTTATTTATTATTAAATCTTTGCTTCAAATCATTTTTCAAATTTAAAATTCACCGATAAATGCTTTTTAATTTTAAAAGTTGTTCAGTTTTTATGAGCCTCCATTTTAACGTTTAGTTAAAAAGTTACTCATGTACAAAAGTCGTTCAGTTGGTGGTTCAGTAGATAGGCTTGCAATCGCCATAGTGCAGTGCGAAGGTTTGAACTATTTTTCATAGTTTTTCTTGTAGAGTGTAGATAAAATAGTGTATGCAACTGCATATAATTAGGCTTTAGAATGCTCGTGTCAAACTATTATCACACTCGGCAGCGCCTCGTGTGATAAACAGACACTCTCATCCTAAAGCCTCTCATTATTAGGCAGTTGCATAAACTACTATTTTATAATGAGCAGGTAGCGTATAAAACCGCTAACGGGCCGCTAGTTTAGGTAGTATAAACTTCTTACCATACCAAGATATCTAACCAACAAAGAAGCAGTAAAGATAGACTAAATAATTAAGTTTAATATACACTAATAGTTATTACCTATACTATATCTAATGTAACGATTGTATCGATTTATAACATGATCGATCAATAAACTATATTGGCTAGATCTATTCTGTAAGCTGTATCCGAAGCTATGAGCGTGTTATAAGCCGACGTCTGATGGCTTATAGCTGATCGATGTCGCATTAACATGACTGTAAATCTTTTAGCAAGATTCATAGCTCGGATCCTCTTAAACATTCACTATTACAGTTTGTATATCGGTTAGGTGCTTAGAAATAGTATCAGTTTTGCCTTAGGATACGTACAAATTAGGGAGTCAGTCGTGGGGCGTTTTTTGCCTTACAGTAGAAATCATGTTAAATAGAATACAACAAATTGTATATGTCGCAGTACGATGGCAGAATTAGGTTTTTGGCCAAAAGCCGGCATATGGCAGAATCGTAGACTTCCTTCGGCCGTCGTCCTAAACTGATCCAGGTTTTTGGCCAAAAACCTAGGATTTTGGCCAAAAATCTAGGATTTTGGCCGAAATCCTAGATTTGTTTAGTATTATGGCATTTTTTGCATTTTGGGGGGACTTCTTCGTCTTCGAGTGGTACATCAAGTCGCCCAACGAGCCAATGGACCCTGGTATCAGAGTTTTCAACCGCCTACAGAAAGTAGCAGGCCTCTAACATGGTTGTGTAACGACCGCCGTCTAAGTGATCATAGAGAGCAATCGGGACCGACGGCTTACCGTGCCCGTGTGGTTCGGGGGAACGAGGAGTGGAGAGGTACTTTATGCACCTCCCTCTGATCTTTTGAGGGTAGACTTGGACACCGTAAATGGACACCATGAAGAACGGGGGGTAACATCAGACAGTCTGAACAGCAGGATTGCCTCGGATTCCCTGAAGGGCAGGGGGGAGCATCAGACACCATAAGAGCAGGACGTACCAGTGAACGCTCTAGACGATTGGTGGTAGCGTTGGACGCCCTGGAGACCAGGAGGTAGCGTCGGACCCCCAAAAAATCCAACGCCCGTCATCTTACATCCTCCAGATTGTCCGACGCTACCCACGCCCTCCAGAGCGTCTGACGCTACCTCCCACCCTCCAGAACGTCCAATACTACCTCCTGCCTTTCGAGGTGTATGCCCGAACTACACGGGCACGTGAAGCCGTCGGTCCCGATTGCTCTTTATGATCACTTAGACGGCAGTCGTTACACAACCTTGTCAAAGGCCTGCTCCTTGCAGTTGGCGGTTTAAAAACTCTAACACCAGGGTTCATCGGGTCGTTGGGTGACTTGATGTACCACTCGAAGAAGAAGAAGTTCCCCCAAAATGCAAAAAAAGCCATAATACTCAACAAATCTAGGATTTCGGCCAAAATTCTAGTTTTTTGGCCAAAATCCTAGGTTTTTGGCCAAAAACCTGGATCAGCTTAGGCCGAAAGAAGTCTACGATTTTGCCATATACCGGCTTTTGGCCAAAAACCTAATTCTGCCATCGTACTGCGACATATACACACCTAAGAAGAGTTGGCCAAGATACACTCGCACTATTTCGCAGGCTAAGATTTAGTCGCGGTAGCCCAGTTGGTAGAGGTGTCGGCAGTACAGATTCCGAAAAGCGCAGGTTCAATTCCTGCCTGCGGTGGAAAATTATGCAAGTTTTCCAAACACATTTTTAATCTGTCGTAAAAATCGGGAGGTTTTCAGGCCGGGTAGAGTCCGGACCGGCATAAAACTAACCCTATTTTGTGGGTTACGTAATGTCCCTTTAGAAATTGTCGAAAATGTTCATTGTGAATCAAACGTATAGCCAGGAAATTGAGATACTCGAGTAATAGACCTTATGGATTTGAATGTCCCACTCCATGCAAACAATAGCCATCTAGTTTATAAACTATACAATAATGCTGAAATAATGTTATTATTGTTTAGATAGGTTTTATCATTATTGTGCGCGACCTCCCACAGGCTTCCCGGAATTGAAATATCTTATTCAGTCCGAGATGAAAGTTCGGAGGCTGTGTATTGTCACAAAATAGAGAATTTACAGAAGGACAGCTCGCTTCTTTTCCCGATCATTTATACCTACTCTCTAGGGTTGTTACTTTTTCTTTCTGATTTTATGAAATGCGGTACCTGTATCAAACGTACGTGTGTATGTACTAATGATGGAACCGCAGCGGGAAGGACTTTGAAGAAAATGCAGGATGAAGTTAAACTATAATAATTTATTAAACGTAACATAGTTTCGATGTGTGAAAGCTATGTTACAATTTAAACTTAGTCTAACAGCGTCTGCGAGATTAGGGACTTCCGCATAGCTCGTACATAACATACTTAAATTACATCAAACTTACACTATGACACGCTATACAACAATATTTACACTTGAGAATCGTCATTTGGCCGTCCACTCGCACCGAACGATGTTAGCACTCGCTAATAGCCGGTTCGAAACGGTTCGAGATCGTGCGTTAACGACTGCGTGTAAATGTGTGTGTGAGTGTAGCGACGTTTCTTTGTAGCCGTCTCTCTGTATTTGGTGCCAGCGAATACTTACTTTGTGATTGTACTGTGGGTGGGCGTTAGGTCGCAGAATGTATAATAGCGCTAGTTGGGTGACATTGCAGGGTCGTCTCTGCGGAAATATAACCTCATGATCTAAATACTATAGGTAAGGTTTGTTTTTGTTTCCTTTTACAATGTACTAAAAAAAACTTACAAACATATCTTGGGGATGGGGACACATGAAGTCGTTGATTTTTTCTATTTAACAGTAACAATCTTTGATCAATCTTTAATCTTCTTTCTACACATCAACCTTCGGAATTCGTATTTAGGCAGGTTTTTTTTCTTCAAATTCAGGCCATGGATTGTTATCTCATCTCGATTTATTAATGATCTCTATCTTTCCTAGTGAGTTCTTCTACCGACCAACATGAATTACCCCTTTCTGATTTCTTTCGCGTGTCTTTAATTTGTGAAATAACGTCAAGGTTTCAAAACTGAAAAAAAAACGTTAGAGATTGAAATTCAGAAAAGAATCCTCGACGCTTCGAATCCGATGGTATCGGCAAGGCCGCATTTCTGCCGGCGGTCACTTATTGAGGACAGTTTATTGGCTACAGGAGCGCCTGACTCACTTGCTGGCTGGCTCGCTGGGCTTCCGCATTGGTGACCCCCACAGTGCCACTATAAATTAGTGTCTCCTACCTACCCTGCATAAAATAAAGACCCTCTCAGTTTTCAAAACCTAAGAAATTAGCTCCTCCTGCCCGTCAAACACAAAACGAAAAGCTTACGACGAACGACATCTCACATGTCAAGATCCGCGCAGACGTTTAGGCTGTAGCACGTGAAAACGAATTCCTTGTGTACATACATGCCTAGGTGCATACATACATACATACTCTTGAAAAACAATAAAGAGGCTACAAGCACAACCTCGCTCTTTCCGAAATAAAAACCTAAAGAACCAAGACCTTCCTAAAAACTTAAAGATCAAGGCTTTGATTCCGATGGTATCGGCAAGGCCGCATTTCTGCCCGCGGTCACTTATTGAGGACAGTTTATTGGCTACAGGAGCGCCTGACTCACTTGCTGGCTGGCTGGCTGACTGGCTTCCGCATTGGTAACCCTACGGTGCCACAGTAAACATGCTAAAAATAAAACTACAAGCACCACCTCGCTCTTTCCGAAACTAAAAACTTAAGGAACCAGGCGGCTTCGATTCCGATGGTATCGGCAAGGCCGCATTTCTGCCCGCGGCCACTTATTGAGGACAGTTTATTGGCTACAGGAGCGCCTGACTCACTTGCTGGCAGTCTGGCTGGCTGGCTCGCTGGGCTTCCGCATTGGTGACCCCTAGAATGCCACAATAAATTAGTGCCTCCTGCCTACCCTGCATAAAATAAAGACTCTCAGTTTTCAAAACCTAAGAAATTAGCTCCGCCTGCCCGTCAAACACAAAACGAAAGAAAATTCACTCGCTTATAGAGTTTATCGTGGGTATTGTAAGCAAAGTCTCTGTTTTATTTCGTTTACAAATCCTATTCATAAAATGTCAATGTTTACCTGTTTAAAATACGTTTTCAGTAAAACGTAATTTATGCTCGCTTTGAAGCGCCTTTTGAAGTAAAATGACTGCATTTTACTTCAGAAGGCGCCTCTAATTTACACCTTCTTAAACTTCTGCCTCTAATTTATACCTACTTAAACCAATATGTCTGTCAGTTGTCCTGGCCTTTGTTTTAGCCAATGTTGTTTATTTTACCTATTCGTCTTTCATTACATGTCCGAGGTGATAATTACGTCTATTACCAAACCGACACTTCTATTATACTAGAAAAGCTTAACATTTCAAGTTAGTGTCTTTTGGCTTGCAACTGCAGGTGCTTTTAACTGTCTTGTTTCTGAAGTCTAAATCATGAATAGGTAGGTACAATTTCACGCTCCTCAAACCAACCAATAAAATTTCTGACATGCGTGTTTTGAAGTAGACTACAAAGAGAGAGAAATTAGTAATACTCGTATGGGTGGGTCAAATAAACTTTTACCTACGTTGAAAGTTTTTAGATATCAATCATGGGGTTGGATTAAACATAACTTTCAAGATAGTCTGTCCGATTCAGACGTAATTAGTTCTTCAACCGATATATCATTATCATATCACCGGTACCTGTTTAAATGATTATTAAATGTGTGACATCGATCACGAGTCGAGTCACGTCACAAACTAAAGTTCATGTCCTACAAAAAATATTTCTTTTAAACTATACTGGGTAACCGGGAGTGACAAAAAGGGTATAACAAACCGAAAGGATTTTAACGTACTCATGAAATCGAACAACTTTCCCCATGGTACAGGGCTCGAAAGTCAAACATGAAAAAACTATTTGTACCTACCATACAAACTCTTTGATCAGATGATTGATTTATTTTGGGAGGTCCAAATATTGGGTTTGCTGGCGATAAAAGGTACGTGTGCCTTCGTCGAGTCATCTGTTGGCTGCAGTAGAATCAGATCTGATCAGTCACCTGCACTGTAGGTAGTCGCATCTAAGCGACACCAGGGTCATCTGTCTGTGAGATTCCACTGTGTAGTTCGGTTTGCATGCTGGCTGTCGGCCACTAGTGCTGGTCATGAGGGAAGTGAATAGCGTGTGCCTTATTTCCTAAATTTAAAAGAAATATGGCAACATAACCGATTGAAACTCTTTCTTCTTTAGACTTGCTATCTTTTATTCGGGCTATAGGTAGGTACTTGTACTTCTTTGAGTTACCTGATGGCTGCAGTAGTATCAGATCTGATCAGTCACCTGCACTGTAGTCGCATCTAAGGGACACCAGAGCCGATCTGTCTGTGAGATTTCACTGTGTAGTTCGGTTTGCATGCTGTCAACTGCAAAAGCTGGTACTGGCCATGAGGGAAGTGAATATTTAATTTTTCATCATAATTTTTTTATTATTTCCTGAATAAAAAAAAAATGGCAGCAAAACAGTTTGAAACTCTTTCTTCTTTAGACTTGCTATCGTTTATTCGGGCTTCAGGGCTGCTTGTACCTCGTCAAGTCACCTGATGGCTACAGTAGTATCAGATCTGATCAGTCACCTGCACTGTAGTCGCATCTAAGCGACACCGATTTCACTGTGAGATTTCACTGTGTGGTTCGGTTTAAATGCTGTCAAAGCTTGGTGCTGGTCATGAGGGAAGTGAATAGCTTGTACCTTACTTTCCGAATTTGAAAAAGGTTTACCGTCTTAGTTTTTATGGTCCATGTGTTTTTGACCACAAGGTCATAAAGACTACTGCAAACTGCTTGGTGGGAGCGAAGTATTGGTAAGATTGTGCAAACAATCAGCCCAATCTCGCTTAGGAGATGTTTTGAGAAGAGCGGATCGGACGGCGATCGATTTTTATACCTACGGCGTGACAGACATTTACTGGCCTAAATTGCGTGACGGACTTAATCTTGGCAACAGATTGTAGTACGTGAACTTTATTTCGAGAAAACCTTGCTGTTTCCTGATCATTCTTCGTTTTTTTTCTTCTAGTCAACCTTTTTAACACCACGGATGTTCTGCTCTCTCTCTTGTCCTGTTGGACAGATCATTGGATATCACGTTGTCAGACCCGATGTTTACCTGATGCCGTTTCTACCTCAGTATGGTGTGACGCGCGTTTCTTCACTTGACCACCCCGAGTCCCTGACCCGATGGCGCGATACGTTCCTTTATACGCTCCTCCGCCGCCGATCGTATCAAGATCTCATTAGCTAATGCCGCCACCGGTCAATTACACTGAGCGACGTGTCCGGGGCAAATTGCACGCTGCGACACCGCGACGTAGCCGCAGCGACAACGCAGCGTGTGTGACGCGTGTGCGGCTCGTCAATTATGTACAAAGATTGGAGATAGGACGCCGGCGCCGGGTTGACGGGTCGTAAGGATTTTAGGGATTCGCAAATCGGTAGAGAGCCAGAGTGCTGTAGGAAGCGTTACTGTTAGAGGCTATTCACAAACAGACTGCATATTTAACTGAGAGCAGTGTTATTAAACGTCGGAAGGGGAAGGTTTCGACGAACGTACATCTATCAAATCCGAGATGTGCTAAAGAATGGCCATGACAAGAATACCCTTAACCGA